CTCTCTCTCTCTCTCTAAAATAAAACTAAGCATTTAATTAATTAATTAAAGTAATGTTTATATTTTCTGGTTACAAAGTAATAGACTGTAATGGTAAATAAAAATTAGAAAGCACAAAAGTTACTTACAATCTTACTACCCATAGGAAATCTCTCTCAATAGTCTGATGTCATTTCCTAACATCTGTGTCTTAGGAATCTATATGTATGTGTGAGTTGGTGTATGTATTGTGTTCATACTATATATAGTTCCGTTCTCTGTATTTTTCAATTAAACATTATGTAAATTTTACCATATTAAAAACTCCTTCAAAAACTTGATTTAAAATTTGCAATACTAAAAAAAATTTGCACTACTAAAATGTTTTAAGCATTTTAATTATTTAATTATTACTATAGCTATAATAACTTAATATTTACTCAGTAATAATACTATTCTGGATATCCTACAGCAATACTCTTTTCTGCATCATCAGACACACCTAACAGATGACATTAATGCAGGACACACTGTCCCGATCTCCAAGGTTGTAACTAATTTCAGTTTCTTTCCTACTCAAGAAAACACAGGACTGAGAATAAAGTACATGAAAATGCCATTATTACAGGGATAATGGCTCTAATTCACAAGAGACAAAACTGAATTATCAGAATTCTATCATCTACTAATTAACAAACAAAAATTTTGTGGTAGAACTCACAACCGATACATGTCCCGACCCTGCAGTTGAGAGATGCTAACTCTACAGGTACTATACAGCTCAATGATTTACATTTTACATAAAACAAATAAAATATAAACTCACTAACGTCATTCAAGAATTAAGAGGCTTAAAAAGGACATTCAAAACAAATTTCCAGAGAACTCTGTTTTTTTCTTTTTTAACACTAAATACTTTGTTAACATAACCTAATAAAAGTCAAGCTATCTTTTTAAACCTTTATTACAGCAAATTTCAAACATACATACACACACACTAATCCCCAGACCCAGCTCAGATAATTTTGAAGCAAACCTCTGACAAGAGATTTTAACTGTAAATATTTCATGTGTCAGCTAACTTTTAAAAGCAATTTTATAAAACTGACAATACTATAGGAGATTGTGAACATGTTAAAGTAGTGGGAATATGACTAATTTTCCCTCTATTTTCAAGCAGTCTGTAATATTGATATATTGTTTTAACAATTAAAAGTATCATTCCACATTTAAGAAACTATGAGATTATAGATTTTAAATTTTCTTGTGGCAGAAGATATTTCCTGACTATAACACAAAACCTAACAAAAATAACCTAACAAATCTAAAAACTAAAATTTTTAATACCCACTGGAAGCAACTTGTGGTTTTCTGGAAGTGAACTGGCAAGATTCTCCAATCCCTCATAATCTTCCAACATATAATAGCATTCAGCTAAGCGTTCCTGGTTCCGGCCTTGTACATAATATTGTACAGCATTCAACCTATGGGGGAAAAAAAAAGAACAATTTCTAAAACTAATGTGAATCTCCTGATAAATAAACAGTCTCATTAAAAATGCTCATTAGAATTACTAGTATTACTCTAGTTACCATCTTCAGTTACAGCATGTCTTTGAAGTGTATAAACTGGGGGGATAAAATCTAAAGACTCTGAAGCACATTTTAGTTGCAACATTCTTTGGCTATTAAGAGAAATTGTTGTAATTGGATATACAGTTGTGCTTCCAAACACGGACATAAATAAGTATATTGATCCAAATGAAAACCTAAGAATAAAAGCCAATGACTTCTGAAAATAATCTACAAGAAAACAAGAAAACATAAAATACTTTTCCTTTTTTCAGAAATAAATCATATGTCTTTGAAATGCACACTGTGGTCTTAAACAGTAGAAACCTGCCTGAAACTAAGCACACGTTTGTGAGTTTGGAAACTCCGAAGTTTTATAACATTTATCAAGGATCTCTTGCTCCCCATTGGGAATTTAAATCTGCTTGAATTTAAGAATCCAGGGGGCCGGCCTTCAATGTCCCCAGCTTTGTGCCAATGGGAAGTACTCAGGCAGCTACCATATCAAGTGCTACATGAACAGATGAAGAGGTTCACATAGGTTGCCTACCACTTTTGCCGATCAGCGAAGTAGTCTCCGATGGCATTGTGGGCTTGTTCAAGAAGACTGTCATCTGCATCACCAGATCCAGTTTTCAAGAGCTGGAGTACTCTAAACCAATCTCCCAATTTCAGCCGGAGGCCGATAGCAAGATCTCTGTAAACAACAGCATACATTCATTCACTTGACAAATACTTGTGAAGTGCCTACCCCATGCTAGGGTCAATTCCGGGGTACTGAGAATACCCAGCAGTGAACAGACGGACAAGTTACCTCCCCAAACATTTTAGAAATTTGACCAGGAAAGAGGCAATGGGGAGAACTTGAAATCAGGAAAAGGAAATAACTTCCTGCCTTTTATTTTCCTAGCCTTCCAATTTTCCTAGCAAAACAATGATTTAAATAATAATAACTTCTTTTCATCAATTATTGAGACATGATCAGGCTTATTTAAAAATCATACATATACTGGGGCACCTGGGTGGCTCAGTCGGTTAGGCATCCGACTTCGGCTCAGGTCACGATCTTGTGGTCGCGAGTTCGAGCCCCGCGTCAGGCTCTGTGCTGACCGCTCAGAGCCTGGAGCCTGTTTCAGATTCTGTGTCTCCCTCTCTCTGACCCTCCCCCCGTTCATGCTCTGTTTCTCTCTGTCTGAAAAATAAACACTAAAAAAAAAAAACCATACATATAAACACATATTTGGTTTTATCTTTCTTTTCAGGGCTTAAGCAGTATTAGGGATCTCCTTGAAGTACAAATAATATTAACAAAATTTAGACATAATGTTTATAGCTGAAATACATACATTATTTTATGCAAATCTAAAATGAACATAAAGAATAAAACTCAATCCCTATATACCGTTCATTTTTATTTCATGCTCCTTGACGACAAAAAATTAAATAAAGGTCTAAATCAAAAAAGAAAACCCAAACGTTGAGCTGCATAATAAACGATAAAAGCCCCCAGTCTCTGCAGTCTTATGTTTTTTTTTCTACCAAATGAGAAAACCTCCCATGGCCAGCCGTTAATATATGTAAAAAAAAAAAAAAAAGAAAAAAAGAAAAAGGAAACTGCCTCCAAATTTCAATACATAAATTAATGTAAGGGCCACGTGGAATATCCAGGTTGTAACTAAACTGAGATTATTTTCTGAAAGAAGTGGCATGACACATTTAGTCTACTGTACATTCTTCATTTGTACAGAAGAAAATCATGAATGCCAGAAGTACTCCAGAATGCCTGTACCTTTATTACTCACCTTCTGTCCATATCAAGATACATTCTTTCTGCCTCTTCAAACCTGCCGAAGTAGGCAGCAACTTCGGCCTGCTTCATGGACTCACTCTGTAGATTGCCCAGGCGCTTCACAAACTTAATGCCTTGGTAATCTTTGCAGCGCACAAACGCTTGCTCTGCCGTGTGCAGATCTAGTTTCTGAAGGGCTGCTTCAGCCAGTAGGCGCCTTTATTAAAACAAGAAACAGAAAAGCTTATTGCCATTACTGATAAACAAGTCTTGAACCCGAATTTAATTATTATACCTGTTGTTTCTAGTTAAACATGGTGGGAAGTGATTACTTTAACATATTTATGTATGTTTTACTTAATATTATGCTTATTTTGAGTACTTCCAAATCTGAATTTAATTTCTGTATTTTAAAAAGAAGAACAAAGGGGCGCCTGGGTGGCTCAGTCACTTAAGCATCACTTCAGCTCAGGTCATGATCTCACGATTCATGGATTCCATCCCTGCGTTGGGCTCTGTGCTCACAGCTCAGAGCCTGGGGCATGCTTTGGATTCTGTGTCTCCCTCTCTTTCTGCCTCTTCCCCACTCACTCTCTGTTTCTCTCTCAAAAAATAAATAAAAAACAATAAACATTTTTTTTAAATAAAAAGAAGAACAAGAATGCAAGTCTACCCCCATGAAGGCTACCATGAGAGTGGGAGACAATAGAGCTGAGACTTTAAATGCATACACCAGACATTTTGGGAGGATTTTTTATTTTTAAATACCAAAGTCGGGGGTGTGGATTGTCCTCGATGAATTGAGATGCATCTTCAATTCCAACTTTCTCAATCAATGCTCGACTATCTCGCAAGGACCGGATCTCAAAGTTAATTATATAATCCTTGTTTGGGTGTTCTGGATTCTAAAAATAAAGATGAAAAGAAATGCAAATACCTGCCGTTAGAGTATGTGTTTCTTTTTTACAGTAAAATACATGCACACACACAAACAACTGTATCATGTTGTAAACCAAAATGGGAAGAAAAGATATTCCAATGTGTGGGTCTTTGAGTTATCTGGAAAACAGCCACAATCCACAGGTGAAGTTCCTCCTGAGGTTACTAGGCTGCCCACAGGGAAAAGAGGACAGTGGAAGAAGGGTTGTCTTACAATCATACAGCCTTGTTTCCCTCAGCTTAACTCTCACGTTCCCAGGGGCTACTATTCTCTTCTCGCCCAAAGCGCTGCAGAAAAGACATGTGCAGGGGCCTCTACCAGCTCACTCCTTAATCTACTCTCTCCTTGCCGGGGGGAAATGGGACAGTTGTCCCTGTGCTGTTGGGCAGCAGACAAGCAAATACAAGAAAGAGCTAGTTTTCATTATCTCTTTCCTTTTGTTAATTCAGCTAGCTGACCCCTCCAAAATTTTTTTTTCTGAAGGCCAGTCTTACAGGAAATAGCTAGCTAATGGCCAAGAAAATAAAACAGTTATAATGAACTCACCAATATCCTACATATTCCAAGTAAAGAAAAAGTGAAGCCCAGGAGAAAATTAGAACCCCCCGCCCCCACATACAGAAAACAGCAATGGCTCCCAGAACTAAGCTGCATCTGGCCCTCCCCACCTGCAACTAAACCACTGTACTTAGAAACTGAAAAGTTCTCCCAGAAATCCCTGGCACAAAGTAGAAAGTAGTATGGAAAATGCATGAGGTTTGGATTCAAACAGATCTAAGCTTAGATCCTAATTCCTCAGCCTACTGGCTATGTAACAACTCTTTCTAAAACCTGCTGTACCCCCGTCCTGTGCCCACCCAGGAAGCCAAGGCCATCTTCCCCAAATATAAACCCAATCACATCACTCTCCTGCTTTACTCCCCCAGTGACTCCAGAAGGCAGTCCAAACTCCACAGAAGGCACACAAGGTCTCGTATGACTGGGGCCAACCTCCCCCACGACTGTTCCCCTTCAGTTCCGCCACTGCTACCAATTACATACACCAGCTTTGAAGCCAGACGGCTTGGAGTGAAATCATTCACGTCTCTGCCTACTGCCAACTGGGTGTCACTGGCAAATGAGTTTCTCTCTCCAAGCCTCAGATTCTTCATCTGAACAAATGAAGATAATAATCAGACTGGCTTCCTAGAATTGTGAGGATTAAATGAGATAACACGTATCAACCGTTTAGCACAATGCCAGCCTTGTACTACTCATGTGGTTCACAGTCTCAGAACTGTACCAGCGCTCTCTCCCCACAGACCTCTGACAGACGCACCTGTCCACTGAACTGCGCCAGCCCCGCCCCTTTGCTGGTTGCTGAATTTCTTGTCTACCTCCCCAACCCCTCTACTTGAGGCCAGGAACTTGCCTTACTGACTGCCAATAAACATCTGCTGAGTCAGTGAACAGACAGACTTTTGGTAAATCATTTTACTCACAAAGAGCTTTCTCCACTAAAAATGAGGTCTGTGTATTATCTACCAGGCACAGTTGTAATGACAAATGAAGAGTGACATGCAATGACAAATGACAATTGAACACCTCCTATGAAGGCACTTTAGTGAATGTAAATTTAGTAAATTCCCTTCCTTTTCCTTTCGTATTCCTTCAGCTCTAGTGCTCCAATAAATTTCTCATGGGGGAAAAAAAACAGGCTCATAAACAAAGCGCTTTAAAGGGCTACAATTTACATATCAAACCAAAACATGAAACCATGCTACAAATTGCAACTAACTTCAGAAATGTAAAACTCTATTAACCCAATTCCAAAAAATATATGAAGTATACAGAAAAAAGTAAATGCTTTGTATAAAATGAAAGTAAAGGGGCGCCTGGGTGGCGCAGTCGGTTAAGCGTCCGACTTCAGCCAGGTCACGATCTCGCGGTCCGTGAGTTCGAGCCCCGCGTCAGGCTCTGGGCTGATGGCTCGGAGCCTGGAGCCTGTTTCCGATTCTGTGTCTCCCTCTCTCTCTGCCCCTCCCCCGTTCATGCTCTGTCTCTCTCTGTCCCAAAAATAAATAAACATTGAAAAAAATAAAATGAAAGTAAAAATGTTTTTAATATATTCTTAGAGAAAGAAATTCTCAAAAGATAGTCAATGAAGGCCAAAGTAGGGGTTCAAAAAGATAGCTGGAATCAGAACTGGATTATTTTATAAAGCCTGAAAAAAAAATAGGAGGATAGTGGCCCTGCAAACAAAGTTACTCAAGTACCTGTCTTAGAGCTCAAAAGAACAAAGTAAATTAATTGTCAAGTATTTCTTCTCTTTGTTATTGACATAAAAACAATGACAACCACAACTAGCCACCATTTTTTGAGCTCTTGATCCAAACACTGTGGTAAGTGCTTTTCACAGATTACCTTATACAATAACAATCCTGTTAGATAGGAGCCATTATTATCCACATTTTATAGAGGAAAAAACTGAAAAAAATAATTGAGGCTTATAAACAAGAAAGGAAAATGAAGTTCAAAAAGGATGAAGGAACCTGTCTAAAAGTGGTACAAGTGACCAAGCAGGGTCAATCCACATTCCTAACAGGAACACCACACTGCCTGGGCATAAAATAAAACAAATCCCAGTCAAGCCAGCAACAAAAATACAATTGTTTTTCAAGAATTACCTTCAATATCTCATCCAAAAGAACAGATTTAATTTCTAAATCCTCAAAGATACAAATATATCCAGAAGTCTGAATGGGCTCCTTTAAAGATAAAGACAAATGTTATGCTTAATTGTACAAAATTTTCCTTCCTTTAACATATGACTTTGTATTTTATTTTCAACATTTTCAAACCAACAGAAAATTAGAAAGAATGTCATTAACATCCATATGTCCATCACCTAAATATTATTAACATTTTGCTAAATATGCTTCAGTCGATTTTTTGGATGAAGTCTTTTAAAGTAAATCAAATAAAATGTATAGACATCATGACATTTCACCCCTAAATATTTCAGTACATATCTCTAAAAGATAAGGATGTTCTTTAAGTGGCCACATTACTATTATTACACCTCATATAATTAATATTAATTCCCTAATAGCATCTAACATCAGTCCAATTTTTCTCAATTAATCCAAAAATGCCTTATACCACTTGATAATTCTTACTCATGCAATGAAACATTAAATTTAATTCTTAATAAAACCAACAAACACTATAGTTGTATGTAAGCACATATATCAAAGAAATCTTACCCCATACTGCAAAGTCCATCCTGTATAAAATTAGCCAGAGAGCATTCCTGATAGATTTTCTACATAAGATTTATTTGCCAAGATGTAAATACACAAGTCTGTTACAGGTCTGTCTCTTTTCTTAGTATTACGCAAGCTTATAGAAATAAAGTGTAGCAAATGCATATTATAATGTAAAGTAGCTGCCCTAAATCTCTAGTAGAAAAAGGAGATATAAATATTATATAAATAACAAGAAATAAACTCTCACTATACTTACTACTTCCAAGAGCACTATGAAAAGGATAAGATAATGTCTGGTAATGGAAATAATACCAGAATGTAATTTTTAATGTTTATTTATTTTTTGAGAGAGAGAAAGACCAAGCTGAGTCAGGGAGGGGCAGAGAGAGAGGGAGACACAGAATCCAAAACAGGCTCCAGGCTCTGAGCTGTCAGCACAGAGCCCGACACGGGACTCGAGCCCATGAACCGCAAGATCATGACATAAGCCAAAGTCGAACGTTCAACTGACTGAGCCACCCAGGCACCCCTGGAATGTGTTTTTAATATGTGTGTGTGTGTGTGTGTGTGTGTGTGTGTGTATCATGAAATAGAAAGTAAGCAAAATTCAAAGGAAATAATGTATCAAATTTATAACTCTGATACTTAGTTCTTCATGTGATAGAAACTACAGGAAAATACTTAAAAAGATGGAAATTAGAGGTAAAAATTGAATCAGATTTTTAAAAATTGAATCATATTTAGTTTTAGTATGTCAAGGTTTAAGAATGGGGCTCTGTGTGCACATTATATGCATTTGAGTCTTAAAGTGACATTTTCTCTTAAAAAGTAAAAATTGTTGGGGCACCTGGGTGGTTCAGTCGCTTAAGCATCCGACTTTAGCTCAGGTCATGATCTCACCATTCATGAGTACAAGCACTATGTCCAGCTCTGTGCTGACAGCTCAGCCTGGACCCTGCTTCAGATTCTGTGTCTCCCTCTCTCTCTGCTGCCTCCCCTGTTCACGCTCTGTCTCCGTCTCTCAAAGATAAGTAAACATAAAAGAAACTTTTTTAAGCAAAAATTGTTGATTATATGAGAAAATTTTACCAAATTTCTTTATTTCCTCAAAAAAAGTTGTATTGTGTAAAGGCAAGTATGAGCAATGATCACACAGAAAGAATCAAGGATAAAATTTAATTCAAGAATTAAGTATATAATAACATACTTCTTATAGAGGCCTTTCATATATTTTAATTATTTGAATACAACATGTATCCAAATATACCTGTATAAAAATGTTTATCATTAGAATATTGCTTTATTTTTGACTAGACAAAAAACAAAGCAAGGTAGCCAAAAAATAAAGTCATAAAAGATGATGTGTGGATAAAAAGTTATACCAAAAATAAAGAGAAAGGGAGAAAATAAAGATTGGAAGGAAGGTTAAAATCTAAGAGTTTCGAAAATAATCTATGATTATTGGCGCACAAGTAAATATGCAAATATATTTATATTATTCGGATTTTAAAAAGTCAACTTCTACTTGAATTATCTCATCTAATTCTCATTATTTTCCAAAATTCACTAGATATCCATCCATATTTCCATTGAATATGAAGTTTTAGACCAGTGGTCAACAAAAGCAGGATACACTCCCCTACTCAGTATATAAGAAATTTATTTTTATCAAGAAAGTATTTTAAACTTCACTAATCTATACTGTATTAAGTACTCTTACCCAGTACATACATCAGAAGGTCTCAGAACATGTACAGTATAACAGGTATCTTGAGCGCTTATCCATTTAATTGCAGCATACTGTGACATACCGAAGTTTGTATATACCTAGTTAAGCGGATTCAGGGATTACAGTCTCTAATTTTGCGCTAACTCTCATAAATTGGACAAGTGGTTTAAAAATATCCCTGGAAAGAATACGTGAATGAAGTGGAATACTGGAATGCAAGCACAAGCAAACAAGACGAGGCAGAACAGTCACCCCCTTTACTCCTGGCAAACTCTGGGGTTAGCCACATTAGAAAGTGAAAACAATCACATTCGAATCAGATCTGACAGAAAGTCAGCTAAACAATTGAAAATTATCAAGAAGACTATTTGAAACACAAGACTTTACGAAGTTAATAATTCAAGTGTGCACGATGCTCAGACACTAGCTAATGGCAGTGAGAACTACAGCACCCTGACATTTCAAAATAAAGTTCACTTCAGCCTGTTAAATGTATTTTTTTCCTCATTCTTTCAGAATTTCTATTTTAGGGACATGATTCATACAGTACTTGTATTAATATGGTAAGTCACATATATCATTTCTAAATAAATAATTATGCATAGATGAAGATATGGATTCAAAAATTTGGAAACTTCTTGTTTGGTAAAGAAGTGTATAAAAATGAGCTGAGTGGTAAAAATATGAGATATGAAAGGAATATGAATATGAAGTAGTACCAATGAAAGGGAAGATCCAAGAAAAAGACTAGAAAAGCTGAATTGGTACCTTTAGAGGGTCACTGGAGATAAAAATGACCAAGCAGGGAATATCAACATTAAATACTCATTTCCAAATTCTCAGAAAGTGTGCTTTATCAGTGAATTACAACTTCACACACAAATGGCACCCGTTTTTCATCTACAATCTGAAGAAAGGTTTACAACTTAAAGGAAGGTATGAATCTAGAATTCCTAACACTCAAATGGACAAAAATGGATTCAGTATTAACTGTCAAATAACAGCTTATCTCCTGAATTGTAAAAGAATACTATGCCCTAAAGGAGCTCCAGTAAATCCTGTTTTAAAGAGTACGTCCTTACATAATCAGTCAATGAGCAGCCAAAGAAATGAACAGCAGAGCAACTAACCAATAACTAACCAAGCAGGGACAACAGCCAGCCAGTGTCCTCATGAATGAACAGAACAGCACAGCATGACTTATAAAGAAATCCAGTCAGTGGTGAGGTTGAAAGAAATCCATCTAGCTTTAAATCCAACAGAAATTGAACTACTTGCCAAGCCTGAAAATGACTCTAAAAAAGGAGGGGAGGGGAAGGCTATTCTGTTAAAACTACTCAAGAAGCACTTTGCACCAGGCCAAGACGTCCCCTGGTGCTAGACTGAGCGTGTGTGCTACACACACGTTACAAACAGCCAGGAACAACACTCGCCCAGGCATATGATTTCTGACTTAGTACGCATGGGGACACGGATGGAAAAAGGACCCTAACATTCAAAAAGTATTCTCCCATCCTCAAGGTTAGCCTGTGGTTACCTGTCAAATTTTTACACTTACTTTGTGGCAAGTGTCAAATTTCCCTTGGAGCCTTGAAAGAAGCCCCTGCTTACAAGTTAAATGCAGCAGCCCTGAATGCCTTTCCTTTAAACCCTACCCAGGGGCTAAAAATTACAAAGATCCTTAAAATTCCTGACAAAGCCTTTGAGAACAATTCACATGAGGTCATTTCCCAGCCCAAAGATCCTGAGTAGCACTAAAATGGGGAAATGTGAAAATAATTTAAGATATTAAAGGGACAGTGTAATAGTTTACCACTAAATAAATCACTCTAGAAGATTTTTGGCAGCTCAGTGGTCCAAGCATGCAATTTCTTTCCAAAAAGGAAACCGCAAACCCATACATCAATTAATGATATCTATCAACTTATTTATTATTATTTACATTTGTTGGGTGCAACAACCATACAGAAAATTCCCAACTGGAAACCATTAATTATTCAAAAATTACATAAAAATTTATCTCAATGATGCTTTGATTAGGCTACCACTCAAATTACATTGAATTTCCTAAACACAAATGCTAACAGTTGGTCCAGAGCAGACTGACAGGGAAGTTCTAAACTTAAAAATTAGCTGATGTGGGGCACCCCAGTGGCTCAGTCGGCTGAGTGTCCGACTCTTGACTTCAGCTCAAGTCATGATCTCACAGTTTGTAGGTTCGAGCCCTGTATCGGGATCTGCGCTGGCAGTGTGGAGCCTGCTTGGGATTCTCTCTCTGCCCCTCCCCTGCTCTCTCTGTCAAAATAAATAATCTTAAAAAAAAAAACAATTAGCTGATGTGAGCCACAAGTAGAAAATCAAAATATAACTTTAAAATTAGTGAGCAAGTGGCTTCCTGATACTCCAGAGAGGACAGATTAATCAGTCCACACTTGCATATTCATAAAATCATCAGAGTGAGAAAGACCAGGATTAGTGGCTGATAGAGGTCATGTGAACATAAATAAGGAAGCACAGATTAAGGTGGACAGGGAGGCAAAGGAGAATAAAAGCCTACACTTCTTTGGTTAGGTTGTTTTAAGCAATTTTGGTAAATATTACTACTGATTTTCTTTTTTTCTTAACTTTGACAAGGAAAAAATAAAGACTATGTATTAGAGACCATGGTTCCATCTTTTAAAAAGTACAGATAAATGCTTAGGAAGTGCCTTTCAGAGAAAGCAGAGACTTTTTAAAGGATGGGTATTATTCCCACTTATGACCAAATATTTTACAAATCCACAGATATGTTTCTATTTATTTTCAGAAATTTACGCCTCCAACACCAACAAACCTCTTAAGGAAACAAAAGGGAAATAGCCAGGTTTTCACATCTGGCTCATTATTTATGTACTGCTAATACTCATTTCTTGTGTTTACCTCAGGATCCAAGTTTCTGAAAATATACATTCTTGTCTTCTCCATCATCGCAAACAAATCTGGATTATCCTTGGCCCACTTCATATCCCAGACATCTTTACGCTCCAATTTTAACAACTCGCCAATGACCTGCTGTCCTGTGCTGTCTGTTACCCGAGCGTCCAAGTCAAAGAAAGTTAGAACTCCTGAGATATCTATGATAGCAAGACGACTACAAATATTGAAATTGGAGAAAGGAAACAAGATGGTAAAATGACAATCAGCAATCACGAATATAATTACCTATTACCCTTCTTGTGCAAAATCAGTTCATCCAAATCTGGGAAGAAGGCAGAAATGACTTTAAGGGGCACCTGGGTGGCTTAGTCGGTTAAGCGTCCGACTTCGGCTCAGGTCATGATCTCATGGTTCGTGAGTCCCACATCGGGCTCTGTGCTGACAGCTCAGAGCCTGGAGCCTGCTTCAAATTCTGTGTCTCCCTCTCTCTCTGACCCTCCCCTGCTCATTCTCTGTCTGTCTCTCTCTCTCAAAAATAAGTAAACATTTTTAAAAAATTAATAAAAAAAGAAAAAGAAAAAAGAAATGGCTTTAAAAAAATAACTGGTTTTAAAAATTTCTTAAATTTGATAGAAGACATAGACTACTCTCCATTTTGCTTCCTTGTGAGGAAAAAGTATCCAAAGGAATTAAAGCAACTGGTACGCAATTTAAAGTATTACATTTGAATTTCTATATTTTGCCAATTAGAGAAAAACATCTAAATACCGTATAATAAACATTTAAATACAAATATAGTACAGTAAAACCACACTGAACCATAGACAAGTTTAAAACAAATACACATCTTTGTATTTATTACATAAATCCAACAATCCAAATTGATAACTTCTAAGCCCAGCATCTATATGAAGAGAATTTTCAGACTTACCTAGAATTGCAATTCAAGGATAACTGGTAGGCTCGACAGTTAAGGGAATACTTTTGAATCAAACCAACATTAGGAAGACTGTATCTCTGAATGGTGCCAGATTCACGACCCTGTGGAAATTACTTTTGATTACTAAAGCATATTTACAAAATAACATTAAATTACAACTACACATCTCTCTATATGTTCATACATTTGTTTCCAAACCAAAGTGAATGTGTCATAACTAATTCCCAATTCTGATACTAAATCACGTTACCGAGTACATATTTATCTCCTAATTTAATTAAACCCCTTTAAAAGTGGTTGAAGGTGATGTAATTTTTTTTCATGCAGCATTCAAGAAAGAAGTCAGAAACTTAGCTGTTCAGTAATACATAACTCCTTATATCACAAGGAAGAAATAACAAGGGTGACTTACAGTTGTTGTCTAGGTTAATATTTAAGGTACATTAAAAGCTAAAATATAAAGCACTTATTGCATTAAATTTCACCATGAATGAAAAATCAATATAAGATCACCATATGAAACAGTGGTTTCTGAAAGTCCACGTTTTTATCCTATAGCCATCTACCTGATACTAGTTAGTGGCAAATGGAGATGATCAGAAGCAGTGATACAATGAGTATTAGTTTAAATGTGTTAGAATGGCTAAAATTAACTCAGGAAAAAACAGATGTGGTGAGGCTGCAGAGAAAGGGGAACTCTTTTGTGCTGCTGGTGGGAATGCAAACTGGTGCAGCCACTCTGGAAAACAGTATGGAGGTTCCTCAAAAATTTTTTAAAGATTAAAAATAGAGCTACCCTACAACCCAGCAGTTGCACTACTAGGTATTTATCCAAAGGATACAAAAAGACTGATTTTAAGGGGCACATGCACCCCAATGTTTATAGCAGCGCTATCAACAATAGCCAATTATGGAAAGAGCCCAAATGTCCATCTACTGATGAATGGATAAAGTAGATGTGTTATAAGACTGACACTTCTCCTGGTCAGAAGGGGCCCACGGCCTGCCAGATGAGGTAGGTCAATAAACTGTTCTATGAATAGTGGAGAAAAAAAAAAAAAAAAGATGTGGTGTATATATATACAATGGAATATTACCTGGTGATCAGAAAGACTAAAATCTTGCCATTTGCAACAATGTGGAGGTAACTAGAATGTATAAAGCTAAGCGAAATAAGTCAGTGAGAGAAAGACATTGCATGATTTGATGCATATGTGGAATTCAAGAAACACAACAGATATACATAAGGAGGGTAGGTAAGGAAAATAAGATAAAAACAGAGAGGGAGGAAAACCATAAGAGACTCTTAAATACAAAGAACAAACAGGGTTGATGGAGGAGGTTGGTGGGAGGTAGGCTAAGTGGGTGATGGCCATTAAAGAGGATACTTGTTGGAATGAGCACTGGGTGTTATATGTAAGTGATGAATCACTGGGTTCTACTCCCAAAACCACTATTACAATTATGTTAACTGACCTGGATTTAAATAAATTTAAAAAAATTTTTTTTGATATTTATTTTTGAAAGAGAGAAAGAGAGACAGAGTATGAGTGGGGGAGGGCAGAGGGACAAGGAGACACAGAATCTGAAGCAGGCTCCAGGTTCCGAGCTGTCAGCACAGAGCCCAACGCGAAGCTCGAACCCATGAACAGTGAGATCATGACCTGAGCCGAAGTCAGACACTCAACAGACTAAGCCATCCAGGTTCCCCTAAATAAAAATTTTTAAAAAAAGAATATAAATGAGGCTCGGCAGAAGCTTAGAACTAACACACCAAAAGCATGATCCTTAAAAGAGAAAACTGATACACCAGAATTCACAAAAATCAAAATTTTTTCTCTGTGAATGACCTTGTTAGGAGAAGAAAAAAGACAAAGTACAAATTGGAAGAATATTTGCAAATCATGTACCTAACAAAGTGGGCATCTCTCTAGAATATGTAAGGAAGTCTCAAGACATAAAATATTACATTAAAAGCTGATTAAAGATTCCAAAAAATATGTTTAAAAATAAAACAGTCAGGAATGCAAGCTGGTGCAGCCCCTCTGGAAAACAGTATGGGTTCCTCAAAAAAATAAAATAGAACTACCTATGACCCAACAATTTGCACTACTAGGCATTTATCGGGGATGCAAGGTATGCTGTTTCAAAGGGACACATGCACCCCCATGTTTATAGCAGCACTATCAACAATAGCCAAATTATGGAAAGAGCCCAAATGTCCATCGTTGGATGAATGGATAAAGAAGATGTGGTATATATATATATACAACGGAGTATTACTTGGCAATCAAAAAGAATGAAATCTTGCCATTTGCAACTATGTGGATGGAACTACGGAGGAATTATTATGCTAAGTGTAGTCAGAGAAAGACAAAAATCATATGACTTCACTCATATGAGGACTTTAAAGACAAAACAGATGAACCTAAGGAAGGGGAAGCAATAATATAAAACAGGGAGAGGGACAAAACAGAAGAGACTCCTTAAATATGGAGAACAAAACTGGGGTTACTGGAGGGGGTTGGGGGGAGGATATGAATTTCTAAATGGTGGGGGCACTAAAGAATCTCTACTCCTGAAATCATTGTTGCACTAACTAACTAATTTGGATGTAAATTTTTAAAAAATAAGAAATAAGGGGCACCTGGGTGGCTCAGTCGGTTAAGCGACCCGACTCGAATCATGATAATTAAGTTTGTGGTGATGTCATGATCCGTGAGTTCGAGGCCTTGTCGAGGAGGGGCTCTGTGCACACAGCAGCTCAGAGCCTGGGTATATTCCGATTCTGTGTCTCCTCTCTCTCTCTCTGACCTCCCGTTCATGCTCTGTCTCTCTGTGTCTCAAAAATAAATGTTAAAAAAAAAAATTTTTTTTAAATAAAAAATTAAATTAAAAAAAAAGAATACTCAAAAACAATAAAAATAAAAAATAAAAGAATAGAAGTTTCAGTGTAACTCTGTGTAAACCTTAATGCTGACAGATCAATAGTTGGTATAACAGACAAGAGCGAACTCTGGTTTCCAAACCCTTCTGTTCCTCTGGCCATGGCAATGGGACAAAGCGGAAGGCTCGGCTCAGGCCATCTTTCCCTCTCCCCTTTTTAATCAGTGGAGCACCGCTTTTGCAGCGTGATTCTCAAGAGTGGCCTATCAGAAAGGGTGGAAGGAGGAGGGGGAGAATATTGTTTAGTGTATAAAAGGGAGGTATGGGTTTTGGAAGATTTACCATATTGGGGTAGGAAAAAAGATTTTGTTTTTGAAAAAGGGGGCCCTTTGGCTTTAAAGGTTTGAAAAAGTAATGATTCTAAAACCTTTTACATTTCAACAGTGAAATTTTAAATGCAGAAGATATTTTCTCCATTACACTTTCTGGCTGGTATTAAAACCATTCAAGTGTGTATATTATAGGTAGACTGTCATTTGGGAATTATGTCAATTTTCGTGATTGATAGGAGTTGCATGTTACTTTATTTTTGCTAATGTCAGAAACACCACTAGCATAACCAAAAACCCCTGCCATTGAGCAAAGACTCTAAAAAGAAAAAAGAGGCTCCATAAGACAAACTCCTTCAAAAATACACCAAATTTACTTGATGAGGAAAAACAATAATACATTCTTAAGATTTTGTCCCCCCAAAAATTATCTAATGGCTAAAGAACATAACTAGAACTGTAAACATACACCACTAAGGCTATGTTTACACAACTGAAATTCAATGACTCCACCACCATTATATTAAAGTAAACATTTAGTTCTAAAATTAGTATTTTCAAACGCCAGAGCTCAAGAAAAGCCACCATTACATTCATTTTATTTGAAAAATTCAGCAAAAATTTGCCCTAGACTTTTTTTTTTTTTTTTTTTTTTTTTTACTGGTTAGCAAACACACCACCTCTTCATTTTAAGTCTTATGAAAATAGCTGAGCCAAAGCACTTTCTCCAACACCAAATAGTGGGCCACATACAGAAGGAAGCTTTCTAAGACCTACTACCGCTATCCAATCCACTCGACACCTGCCAACCCTTGTGTGGCTCATGCAAGCCGGTGTCAAACTCTCCCCAGTTGGCCACTATTCTACTGCATTTATTAATAGTTATTTTTGCAAATAATTAACAATTTGTGAGGCAGTCTTTAAAAATTTCTTATTTACTACTTTGGGCTTAGAAAACTGGGTGCCCACAAGATGATATTCAAATCCAAAACATATTACTTTACTCTATTTTTATAATTTAAACAATTATTATTCATAAAATCAGTTTTTTAAGAACTTACCACGATCAGTGTCTTATCAGATGCAGTTATGGCACAAATTGGATCCCGGGTGCCCTAAAATAAATCAATTATTATTCTTTAACAAATACTTATTGAGTGACTAATCTGGTATAAGGTAGTGTGCAATTCACTAAGAAGAATACTTCAATATATTTATTAACTTAAACATTCACTTACTGAGCACCTACTATGTGCAAGATGCTGAACTAAGCACCGAAGACACTCGAATAAAATCTTTCCCCTCAGGGATTACTCAAAAGCCTACTGGGGAAGAAAGCGAGCTGAACACCTAATTAATAAAAGTAGCGGTACACTCAAGATCTAGGAGAGCAACAGAGGAAGGAACATCTCATTTACACAGAAGTACGCAGGGAGATGGAAACCTGAGCTCAGTCATAAAAGATGAACAGATGACAGAAGGGCCAGACCGTGCCAGAATGAGGAAGGGGAAACAGCATGGCACAGCAACAAGCTGGACGAGTCTCAAGAGCTTATGCTTAGTGAGAAAAAGCCAATCTCAAAAGGTTACATGCCACATGATTCCATTCATTTAAAGAATTCTCAGAGTGACAAAACCAGAAATGGAAACAGATGAGTGGTTGCCAGTGGAGCAGGGATGGGGTGGAGAACAAGTGTGAAAATGAAGAAATAGCATGAGGCAAGTTCTTTCATGATGGTAAGATTCCATAAAACCACACACACACATGTACATGCATAAACTAGTGAAAACTGAGTAAGGAATCCGGTGGGAGTCCAGTTAATGGTGTCATTATCAATGTCAATTTCCTGTTTTTGATATTATACTACAGTTATAGAAGATGTCACCATTGGGAAGTGGGGTAAAAAGGTTCTAAGCTATCTGTACAACCTCCCATGAGCCTATAATTATTTCAAAAATGTTTTTAGGGGCCTCTGGTGGCTCAAGTCAGTTGAGTGTCTGATTCTTGATTTTAGCTCAGGTCATGATCTCATGGTTATGGGATTGAGCCCAGCATCATGGATTGGAGCTCCACACTCAGCGTGGAGCCTGCTTGAGATTCGCTGTCTCTCTCCCTCTGCCCCTCTCCCCCTCTCACGCTCTCTCTCTCTAAAATTTTAAAAAAGAATAAGAAAACAAAAATGTTTTTAAAAATCAAAAGAAGGAAAAATCACAGCACACCTAGAAAAAGGTTTTCAGAACAGAAATTTTTTTTAAGAATTACCAGAATATGATGCTATTCACTAAAAACAAATTCTTTTTCAGATCTTAAACTAAAATTACAGTACTTCCAAATCTACAGATATTAACATTTGCTGGCAATAAGATCACTTACTTGAATGGCTTTACTATAGTCAAGCACCCCATCCACTGATCCAGAAGGAGTATCATCCACATGATAAATTCTGGAAAAAAAAAGTCAGAATTTCAAAGATAGTCTAAGTACAGGTTATACCATTTCATAATCTCTAGAATAATTAGGTTGAATGTCACCAATGAATACTGTTATGTAACATAAATGTCCTGATTATTTTAAAGAGTTCTTGACACAACCTGGGGCGCCTGGGTGACTCAGTCAGTTAAGCGTCTGACTTCAGCTCAGGTCATGATCTCACAGTTCGTGAGTTCGAGCCCCGCATAGGGCTCTGTGCTGACAGCTTAGAGCCTGCTCCAGTCTTCAAATTCTATGTCTCCCTCTCTCTCTGCTCCTCCCCGTCTCATGCTCTGTGTCTCTCTCCTTCAAAAATAAATAAAAACATTAAAAAAAATTTTTTTTTAAAAAAGAGTTCTTGACACAACTCAATCGTATAAAGGTAGAAACTACCTACCAGGTGTTTCCTAGTTATGCAAGTAATATGTTCCTGAAAGCTAGGTCGAAAATATATTTGAACATTGAATCACATATTTTCAATGAATTTCATTAAGACCCAACAGCTATTTTACCTTATTCTCCAAATGAATGTCAGGAATAACTTCTGATACACTAAGTAAGTTTCTCTGTTGTTTCTCCGTAATTTCCTGTCTAATAATGTGCTCAATGAAGGTGAAGCCTAGGGGCGTCTGGGTGGTTCAGTCAGTTAAGTGTCTGACTTCGGCTCAGGTCATGACCTCACAATGCCATGGATTCAAGCCCCGCATCAGGCTCTGAGCTATCAGCACAGAGCCTGGAGCCTGCTTCGGATTCTGTCTCTGTCTCTCTGCCCTTCCCCTGCTTGCTCTGTCTCTGTCTCTCAAAAATAAATAAATGTTAAAAAAAATTTAGGGGGGCCTGGGTGGCTTAGCTGGCTGAGTGTCCAACTTAGGCTCAGGTCATGATCTCGCATTCGTGGGTTCAAGCCCCCATCGGGCTCCGTGCTAACAGCTCAGAGCTTGGAGTCTGCTTCGGATTATAGGTCTCCCTCTCTGTCTGCCCCTACCCTGCTCGTGCTCTCTCTCTCCATCTCTCAAAAAATAAAATAAAACATTAAAAAAATTAATAAAAATTTTAAAAAATACATAAAGGTAAAGCCTAAATGTATTTGGGAAGCTCTAATTAATGGAATTTTTGTTCTGAACTAAAGAATTGTTCCCTATGTTCCCTGTGTGATGATGATGATTACTTTTGGACTCTGCCCATCTCTCTGATACCTTCATTATAATACTATTCACACCATAGTATCTCCACTAGTTTACCTCTCTCTCTAGTTGGTGGGTTTCCCGGAACCAAAGGCTGTATCTCTAGTGCCTAGCACAGTGCCATATACTGCCAGGTGCTCTATGTCTGCTGGAAAAACATTAAAACAAGTGGAGGTGAACAGGGAAGATACAACATAGAGTAGCTATGAGGCCCTGGGCAAGTCACTTAACTTCTCTGATCCTCAATTTCTCCATGTGGAAATAAGGGCAACGTTTTGCAGGGTTTTTTTTAAGAGGCATAAATAAAATGATGTTTGTAAAGTACATATGCACAAAGCCTGATCATCAAGAAATCATAAATGTAATATAATCATAAGAAAATCAAGCCATTTTCTATCTCGAAAATATGAGATTTTATCATTGTTAAACTGAAATCATAATTGTACTTTGATCAATAAGGAGATTAAATGTTAAATTTAACAGAAATGTATTAAAGACAGAAAGAAAATATATTTTAAAAAGAAATAATTTAGAGGTGCCGTGCTTCTGTATTTTACTACATTTCTATTAAGTATATCCAGCCACTATTTCTACTAGTTATCACAAAATAAGAGTCAACGGTTAGAATAGGAGGGCTCTCAAGAGATCACGTGACCCCCTTCCCCCTCTTAAAACAAGCAGGGTACTACAAGAAAGGCGAATCTGAGTGAAGTGCTTCAGAGCCAGATCAACCTGGCTTTATGTCCCATCTCTACTTATCAGCTAGTGACCTTTGGCAAATAATTGAAGCTCACGTGTCTTAGTCTCTTCTCTGTGAAACAGGATTAATGAGAGTACTCACTAGGCTTACTGGAGTATCTGGCAGGTAAGAAGTATTCAGTGTTGGCTGTTATCACTATCATCAAAGATATTTTACAGATGAGGAAAGTGAGGTCCAGAGAGAACCTGCCCAGTCATATCCCACATAGAAATACAAGGAAATGCTGCCATCTTAAAGCCAGAATATCTTCAGCTGGCTCCCAGGACACTCACTCTATGGAGAGGCTAGACTTTTCTGTCCCAACTTTGTCCTTAGATCTACCTTCTCCCTGCAGATGGCAGTTCTCTTGCTTATTATTGCTACCACTGCCACATGCTGTCCTGAAAAAGGCCAAAGATTTTTCTTATCTAGACTTTCAGAACTACTGAGAAGATATAGTATTTTTTAATTTTTTGTTGTTGTTGTTTTGCTTCCACATGAATTCATGCATCCAGAATATTTTTACTAGGGACATTTCTCCTATCTTAGTACCTGAGTGAATCTTAAAGGAAAGGGAAGATTGCATTAAGACAGCAAGCATGTGTGAGGGAAGATGATCTGAAAAAGCAACCCAGGGTTTCTGACATAACCCCCAGTGCCCACTCCCAACAGAGGTCTAAGCCCTGATTAAGAATGATTAGGTTAAAGCACTCAACAAAATGCTTTATTTAAAGGTTTAGGGTGGGGCATCTGGGTGGCTCAGTCAGTTAAGCCTCTGACTTTGGCTCAGGTTGTGATCTCAAGGATCATGGATCCAGCTTGTGTAGGGCTCTGTGTTGGCAGTGCATAGCCTGCTTGGGATTCTCTCTCTCTCCCTCTCCCTCTCTGCCTCTCCCCTGCTCGCACTATCTCTCTCAAAATAAATAAACTTTAAAATACATACATACATACATACATACATACATACATACATACATACATAAAGGCAGGCTTAGGGTAACAACAAGTGGGTAAAATACAGAATATCACCAACAGAGATAATATAACTTACAAAAACTCAGGAAACACATCTACACCTTGAAACTTATCACAGGAATCCCCCCATCCTAGTCCTAACTTCTCTATGTAGTAGAGCCCTCTCTATCACTTAACCCAACTCCCTGGAATCCAGGGCAAGAAAAAGAAGCCCAAGTAACCAGTTCACCCTACCTGAAGACCTCCTCCTTATCTGTGTCTAAGAACCTGCCTATCCTATGGTGGCTGACACTAGGATCACCCCCACTCTCCCAGAACAACCTGTGCCACTAACCCATAAGAATGAAGCTTTGGTCAGACATTCAGTTGAATAATCGTATTTCAAGTATAGCATAATAACCCTAACATGGTGAGAGTAGGTGCAAGAGAATAGCTATTTCCTTATAAAAACACAGACTTCTGGGGCGGCTGGGTGGCTCAGTCAGTTGGGCGGCCGACTTCGGCTCAGGTCATGATCTCGCAGTCTGTGAGTTCGAGCCCCGCGTCGGGCTCTGTGCTGACAGCTCGGAGCCTGGAGCCTGTTTCAGATTCTGTGTCTCCCTCTCTCTCTGACTCTTCCCCATTCATACTCTGTCTCTCTCTGTCTCAAAAATAAATAAAACGTTAAAAAAAAATTTTATAAAAAAAAAAAACACAGACATCCAGTTTTAATCTCTAAGGGCTTTCTTTTATTATACCACACCCCTTCTTATTTATTTTGATCAATGTAAACAAATAATTTGAAAGATTTTGAAAGATTTTGAATGGGAAAGTATTATTTCTAGTAATCAAAACAACTTACAGTTCTCAAGCATGACAATTTAGAATTAACTATGTCTGGTTTAAATGTGATACGGCTGAGCTACTAAAAACCATGTATCAAAAGATATACCTTTCTCTCCCTTCTTTCCGAGACCGCGTGATCTGATTAATTTCCAATGCTGTGAGCTTCTTTGCCACACGATATTGCCAGGTATAAAATGCTTCTTTTGAAGCTGCTATCACATGGGTTTTGGTCATTGCAACAAATAATGGTACTATTTAAAAGAGCATTAAAACAATTAGGTTACAGTTACACAGAATCACAGAATGTTTGTGCTGCAAAGGAATTCAGTGACCACTGTATTCAACTCCTCATTTCAGACAATATACCCAACATGCAGTCTCTAAAATCAAAAAACATAATCAAAAGCTTGTAGGACCATACAAAAATATTACATGAAAATGGATCAAAGACCTAAATGTAAGAGCTAAAATTACTGTAGAAATCTGAGGGGGGTGGGGGGGGGGAACCTTAGAAATAAATCTTTGTGACCTTGGATTAGGCAAGAGTTTCTTAGATATGACACCAAAAGCACCAGCAACAAAAGAAAAAGTAGATAAACTGGACTTCATCAAATTTAAAACATTTGTGCTTCAAAGGACACCATCAAAAAAGTGAAAAGACAACCCACAGAATGGAAGAAAATGTTTGTAAATCGTATATGTGATAAGGAATTATTTCTAGAATATATAAAGATCTCTTACAACTCAATAATAAAAAGACAAAAAACCCAATTAAAAAATGGTCAAAGGATCTGAATAGACATTTTTCCAATGAAGATATACAGTCACTAAGCAAAGGAAAAAGATGTCCAATATCATTAGCCATCAAGCAAATGCAAATCAAAACCACAATGACATACCACTTCAAACCCACTATAATGGCTACAATCAAAAAGTCAGCCAATAACAAGTATTGCCAAGGAAGCAGAGAAATGGTAGGGAAATAGTGGTGCATCCACTTTGAAAAATAGTTTGGCAGTTTCTCCATTTGCTAAATACAGAGTTACCACAGGCCCCACCAACTCCACTCCTAGGTATATACCCAAGAGAAATGAAAACAAATGTCCACACAGAAGCTCACACACAAATGTTCAGAACAGCATTGTTCATAATAGCCAAAAAGTTGAAATAGCCCAAATGTCCAATTAACTGATGAAGAGATAAATCAAATCCCACTACCTCCTCCCATCCCCATTATTATTACTGCTTGGTTTGGGCCTTTATCCTTCCCTCTGACCTCACATCTTATAATTCCTCATTAAGTTATAAAAGAAAATTCTAGATGGCTAACAAACACAGGAAAAAACGCTCAACATCACTCATCATCAGAAAAATACAAATCAAAACCACAGTGAGATACCACCTCACACCTGTCAGAATGGCTAAAATTAACAACTCACGAAACAACAGATACACTGCTGGTGGGAATGCAAATTGGTTCAGCCACTCTGGAAAACAATGTGGAGGCTCCTTAAAAAATTAAAAATAGAATTACACTACTAGGTATTTATCCAAAGTATACAAAAAGGCTGATTTGAAGGGGTACACACACCCCAGTGTTTATAGCAACACTATCACAATAGCCAAATTATATACACAACGGAATACTACCCAGCGATCAAAAAGAATGAAATCTTGCCATTTGCAACAAAATGAATGGAACTGGAGTGTATTATGCTACGTGAAATACGTTAGTCAGAAAAAGACAAATATCCTATGATTTCACTCATATATAGAATTTAAGAAACAAAACAGACGAACATAGAGGAAGGGAAGGAAAAATAAGATTAAAAACAGAGAGAGAGGCAAACCATAAGAGACTCTTAAATACAGAGATCAAACTGAGGGTTGCTGGAGGGGAAGTGGGTGGAGGGATGGGCTAAATGAGTGATGGGCATTAAGGAGGGCACTTGTTGGGATGCGTATGGAGCGTTACATGTAAGTGACGAATCACTGGGTTCTACGCCTGAAACCAATACTACCCTGTATGTTAACTTGAATTTAAATAAATAAATTTGATTAAAAAAAAGAACAATTAGAGATTAAAAAAAATAAAATCATGAAGAAGAGAAGCTAGATTTAGAGTACTGTATGGTAAAATCTGTGTACAAGCGGACCCACACAGTTCAAACCTGTGTTGTTCAAGAGCCAGCTGTATCATTAAAATTAATTTTTGTCTGTTTAAAAAAAAGAAAAGAAAATTCTCCAAAGTTCCTTCCTAATTTAGGAAAATATTCTCCTAACCATATAACTTTGTTCATCTATTCCTTTTCTTAGAGAACATTTAAGCTCCTACCCTTTGTAGGACCTGTGTACCCTTTGATGACATAGCCTTATAAAATCTAGCTTAAAGATTAAAAAATAGAGCAAGAAGTAAAATAACTTGTCCAAGGTCACAAAACACAAACTAAATACCATAAAACTAAGCAAACACATTCACACAAACTATGTAAAAACAAAACAAAACTCCATCATAAAAGATCATTTTAGTACCTATTTTCTAAACTCCTGAATAATTAGAATAGTATAAAACTTGTGTTTTATTAAATATTAAGCTAAATAATTATTCATATGGCCAGAATAAAGGAATGGTGTTAACAGCAGCTACCATTTATGGAGTTCTTGCCATGGTCCAAGTAAACATTTAAGGCGTTAAAAGACTGAGAAAATGGACAAAGAATCAGAAACCAGGCTAATGATAAAATAGTAATTGAGTAGATTACCAACTTTGTGATTCAAATTCAAGAATTTTTATATACAAAGTAATTCAGTATAGTCGAATCATGCTAAAAACATTTTTCATTACAATTGTCAAGGTTTTTCTATTTGAAACACGTACTATTGTTGAACTCTAGAGGGAGCCAGAAGCCTTTCCTGTAGGGAACAAGTGGTCGAAAGGTGATCCTGGAAAAGTAGCAAGGGCCTGGGGAGCGCTGAGTGAGAAGAATGAGCATGCCAGGCCCAGGCTTTGCTCAGCTTTCTCTGACCCCACTCTCACTAAATCATAAGACATTTGCTAAACGTTTAGTAAATTCTACCACAGACACTCTAATGCTGATGAGTATAATGCCTTTAGTGGGATTTGAAATAAGTTCACAACTTTAAACTATTTTCTAATATGGGGCACCTGTGTGGCTCAGTGGGTTTAGTGTCTGACTTTGGCTTAGGTCATGATCTCGTGGTTCCATGAGCTCGAGCCCCGCATTGGGCTCTCTCTGCTGTCAGCACGGAGCCCGCTTAGGATCCTCTGTCTCCCTGTCTCTCTACCTGTCTGCCTCTCTCCCTCTCTCTCTCTCTCTCAATCTCTCTCTCTCTCTCAAAAATAAACATTAAAAAAAATATTTTCTAATAAAATACAATTTTTTCTAAGCATATATAAAAGCATTCCTCTAACCAACATTTACATACAACTATAAATTATACTCATGTTCCTCTCTGATACATCCTAAATAATCACAATACCTTATCATTAGCCTGGTTAAATTAAAATGTTAGTGGTTCATGGAAAGAGTCAGACTTTTGGATTCAAACTACAGGTACTTGCTTAACTCTGTAGCCTTAGATAAATCACTTATTCTCTCTGAACCTCAGTTTACTTACTGCAGTTGGAAATAATAATATCTTATACAGCTGCTTTAAAGATTAAAAGAGATAACAGGGGCGCCTGGGTGGCGCAGTCGGTTAAGCGTCCGGCTTCAGCCAGGTCACGATCTGGCGGTCTGTGAGTTCGAGCCCCGCGTCAGGCTCTGGGCTGATGGCTCAGAGCCTGGAGCCTGTTTCCGATTCTATGTCTCCCTCTCTCTCTACCCCTCCCCCATTCATGCTCTGTCTCTCTCTGTCCCAAAAATAAATAAACGTTGAAAAAAAAAATTAAAAAAAAAAAAAAAAAGAGATAACAAAGCATGGCAAAATCTCTGGAATAGAATAAACACTTAATAATAATTTCAAAGCCAATATTTATTAACTTAAATATATATATTATATATTACATATATTATATATATTATTTATATATTTAAGTTAATAAATATATACATCAGGTACATATACCATATACTATAAATACATTAACTATAATTATTTGGTTCTATATAATATATAATTGTGTTAATATATAATGAAAATATTACATAGTATATATTCTCACTCACACTCACAACTATTCTATGAGATAAGCATTATTACCCCACTGGGCAGATGAAGAAACTGAAAGAGGGAGGGGTTAAATAACTTGCTGAGGTGCATGGCTAGAAAGCCGGAGGTGAGACAAAAGCCCAGTTAATCTGGCTCCATAATCTGTGCTCTTAACCACGATGGCATATTGCTTCTAATTAACGGTTAATAATAGTATTAGATGTGGATACTAGTATTGTTTTTATTTTTATTACCTATATAGGTTTTTATAATAAAGTCACATATAAACCCAACAGTCAAGACAAAAAAAAATGCAAATACAAATATATCTAAAACATACATTCTTTGGATCAGTATGGGAGTAAATTCAGCAAATTCATATGGGTAGATAATCCTGTCTACAAAAACTATGCTAGATTTTCATTAAAAGATCCATCCCATCCTGGTGGATTAGTTCTTAGTTTCCTAGAACGAAGCCCCCAGGAATAAGTTAGGAATCCAAATTTTAACAGACAGAACGTTTTAGAAAAAGAACACAACCAGGATAAAAGCATTCCATGTTCCTCTCAACTACTCATTATTTGGAAAGAAAAATTTCAAATATTTAGAATGATTATTGGAAACAAAAATTTTTAAGGAAATAATTACGCTTCCATTAGCTGAACTTTGTTAACACTTATAGGTAGAAGTCACTACGCAGGCAAAGGATGTAAAATAACCTAAAACAACCTAGGAATTCATATATAAGTAAAACTTGCTTGTAATATTTTAATGCTGAGGCCTGAAATAAATGTCTACATCTGTAATGTTCCCTTACTTTCCTACTTACTAATTTCTCAGCCTCTTAAAAAATCTGGTAAACTGAAATTGCACTGACATGTTTTCATCAAACTGCCATTCTCTAGAATCTATGCATGACTCCAGGCATGTGGTAGAGACCATCATTAGAAAGCCACCTACCAGCTCCCACCAAAATGGCTAAAGCACAGGCACCTGGTACTTTCCAGGCACTTTCCATGCCTTCGTTTCTCTGCAAATGCTGCTTTCTTTCTCTCCTTAAAATGTCACCTGAATAAACACTTATCCTTCAAAATTCAGCTCAAATGAAACCATCTCTAAGTAGCAAAGATATGTCTGATGTCCTTACTCACTAATATCCACTTATCCAACACCTAGCACGATACCAACCTAGCACACAGCAGGGAACAGTACACCAGTGTCAAATGGATTAACTACATTTCATTATTTGTTTAGATATCCTACAGGAAGTTTCATAGTCAATTTTTTATAACTCCAGATACCCAGTACAGTACCAGAAACTCACTGAAGTTTTGCTAAATAAATGTGTCATTTTCCATTTTCATGATAGAAATAAGTACTTTCCATATGCTCAATAAGCATTTGTTATAGGGCAGGCACAGTGTTAGAGGAATACAGAAATTAATAAGGCATAGATCTCTAAGGAGTCCAAAATCTTGTGGGGAAGGCAAACGAGAAAATCAGTAATTGTAGTGCAGAGTAAAAAGTAGTACTCTGAACAGAAGTGCACCTTTAAAATACCTCTTAAAGGTATTTTAAGAGCTCAAAGGAAGAGCACCGGAAAAGGGCACGTAACTCCTCCATGCATAGTACAAAAGCCCCACAGACTAAACTTGTATAATAATGCATAAAGTTCTTTTAAAAAGTTTCTACAGAGATTGGCAGGAGGAAGAGCAGCACAAAAATTACACTTTCCAGAGCAACATCAGTTACACACTTTTTTCGTTTTACCCTCCAGTCCTCACAAAAATCTGGCATACAAACTTAAAAAGGGAATTTTACAGGATATGTATGAAACAAAAATGTTGAGTCCTTGGCTCGGTTTACTGCAAGCCAATGAAAGAACTGTTTGTTAAAATTTCAGCCAGCGAGACTGCAAAAAAAAAAAAAAAAGTTTCAAGACTCAAAAATACAAATAATCATGCCCTCAAGTATTTGCCATTTTATGAAGGTGAAGGATTTACATCTGGCTTTATGAAAAAAAAAAAAAAGACTACCTATGATTAAAATTACTTTGAGGCTAACCCTACCATCATTATTCTGTTAAAACTTTTGATATCAAAAGAAAAAACATATAATCTAAAGACTGACATAATTCATCCCTTAAGAGACTGTTATGTTTCCAATACAAGATATTCCTGTGATAAGAGTCTGTAATAATTTTAAGCTAAGCCTTTTAACAAGGAACACTAACATATATACATATATATGCAGGTACAAATATTAACATACCTCTATAACAATGAACATAAGATATGAAGTTGAAAAGTGTCAATATATAAAACTGAGTTACCAAAACTCTAAACAGACAGCATAAAATCTTGAAAGCCCATTAAGTATTTCTCACATTTGCTTGTATCACCCAAACAGTTTAGCAAAATATATTTAGAAGGGAGACACTAACATTTGATGAAGGTTAAATATGAAATCTGAAAAAAAAAAAATGACTAGCTCTCAGATTCAGAAAATTCAATGGGTTTTCAATTTTTGAAGTCTAATAATTTTTCTAATACCATATCCAATAAACTACCACACTTAAAACACATTACTTTTGGAAGTTAAAGTGAAATCACCACAAAATATTTGGTAATGATTTTTAACAAAAAAACTTAAGAGTTAGATGAGAAATTTTTTAATGGTTACTTTCATAATTGTTGGATAGAGGGAATGGTAACTCTAAAGTAACAAATGTCTTCTGAAAACAAACAAAAAAAAAATCAGGAATTTTTGAAAGCTGTCTCTATTAATAGATTGATTTCATTAGAAAAATCTGGAAAGAGAAAATGCACTTTTACAAGCAGCTAAAGTGTTTTTATAGAAGAGAGGTATTTGCAAGCAGCTTATTAATAATAAAAGTGGTTTAACAGCAAAATTGTTTCTATAATCCCATTTATTACATGCTAATCATTACATTGCATACCAATTCCTACACAAGTATATTTCCCATTGAAAGCAAATAATGGCAGTTTAACAGTCATGAGATTACTGTGGCTTTTAGAGTAAACTTATAATTTATTGTATTAAACAGGATATTTATATGGTGAAGTGGAGCATTATTGATAATTTGACTACGATAATTGGCATAAACTGGTGCTGGACTTGGCAAACCAGGAAAAATGGTCATTCTTGTTTAGAAGACCATTTTAATTAATAATGCCATAGCTAGGTTTTTAAATTAGTTGTACAAATAAAACTTGATTAAAGAGGGAATAGACATTAACATTTCCTTACCAATATCAATATATTTGGGATCCAAAGGTGTGCCAATAGAATTACAAAGAACTAGCACAAACTGTGAACAAATAAAAAAAAGAGTATCAGAATTCCTGCTTCTGTACAATGAAAGAAATAATGCTTAATATATCATGCTTATCTCTGTAAAGTATCACAACAGGGAAATAACTGATAAAATTGTTAAGTGCAAAGAATAGCAGACAAATATAATCTACAGCATTAAACATAAAGATATATGAATTAAAATTAAACCAAGGCTGATTTCTCAATATAATGGAACACTGTCATTTTTAAGAGTTCACCTAAGAAACACAAGTACACTGGCTACGTTTCATTATTTACACTTCTAAAATTCCTGATCAGCTCTAACCTCAAAATTCATTTTTATCTTATAATCAGCTATATAAGAACTAATTTGTTACCATTGCACCAAATGTTTCCATCTCGTTCTCCTCCTTTGAAGCAATATAAAAATGACATGTACACAATTAATTATCAATAATTAATATTCAGTAAAATAATCAAGCATAATGCACACTTTACACCATACTAAAGCGATAATTTCATTCTTCTATTGTTAATCACCTTTTCTATATCTTGTGCTAAGAATACTATTTTACTTATTCTCCCGATTGGAATAACGACTTCAAATAAACTAATTCTCTACGTACTACTTACATGCAGACTTTCTCTTTCTTTTTTCAGCTTCTCAAGAAAAACTTCTTTAATTTCATAAATATAAATTAAATGAACCCTTGTGCACTGTTGGTGGGAATGTAAACTGATGCTGCCATTGTGGAAAACAGTATGAAGGTTTCTCAAAAAGTTAAAAATAGAACCACACTATGATCCAGGAATCACATTACTGAGTATTCACCCAAAAAACACAGAAACACTAATTCAAAGGGATACATGCACTCCTATATTTACTGCAGCATTATTTACAATAGCCAAGCTATGGAAGCAGCCCAAGTGTCCATCAATAGATGAATGGATAAAGAAGATGTGTTATACACACACACACACACACACACACACACACACACATACACTATTCAGTCATAAAAAAATTAAAACGTGCCATTTGCAACAACATGGATGGAGCTAGAGAGTATGATGCTAAGTGAAATAAGTCGGACAAAGACAAATACCATGATTTCACTCATATGTGGAATTTAAGAAACAAAACAAATAAGCAAAGAAAAAAAAAGGCAGAGAGAGAGAGATACCAACCAAGAAACAGGCTCTTAACTATAGAAAACAAATTGATGGTTACCAGAGGGAAAAGGAGTGGGGATGGGGGAAACAGGTGACAGGAATTACACATCAAGAATACACATCAGAATGAGCACTGAGAAATGTATGGAAGTGTTGAATCACTATATTGTACACCTGAAACTAACATAACACTGTATGTTAATAATGCTGGAATTAAAATAAAAATTTAATTTAAAAAAGAAAAAAATTTAATTTTTAAAAAAACAAACTAAATGACAAAAATTATACTAAAATATAATTTACTTTTCCACTATTTAAAATAAGCTGTTTACTGCCACAAAATACCACAAGTAACTTGTATTTGTTAATCCACATATCATCTACGTGCTCATAGCTTAAAGAATGGAAGAGTTCCTAAGAACTCTTCTTACTGAAGAGTAAGAAGTCCTCCCCTAAAACTTCCCATTTTCTGCTCCCTGGAGTAATGACTTTCAGCCCCTTTAATTCATCCTTTTGATATTTACCTCCACAAACCTAAGTAACACGTTGATAATGCTACTTCTTATTTTGTTCTGTTTCGATCTGGAGCAGTAGCTACTGACTTCTCACTATCACTTCCCACTATCTTTAAGTCCCCTTTCCAGCCTCCCATCACACAGGGGTACACTTCCACCATTCCGGCTTTCCAGTTACAATTTTGTTAGATCGGGATTTTAGGGGTTATTATGGTTATTATACTTTAATTAAAAGTTTTTTAATTATAATATCTATTTAATTACAAAATTAATTTAAAAAGCATCATTTTGATTATGTAAACGCTATCCACGGCTGAGCTGTAAGTACGTCACGATTTATTCTAAATCGCCTTTTGCTTTCCCTGTAGTTGGTAACTGCCTTTCTTTTTTCTCTTTGCTTGGTTTCTCTATACCCAATTACCTCCCAGTTATGTACATCTTCTCTCAAGAGTTCAACCACATTAAGCCTTCTATTAATTTCATCTTGAGTTTCCTCTGGAGCCACGTGATCTGCTGTCATCTGATGACTCCCTAGGCATGCCGCACACTGTCAACTGGTACCACTATGCACCACTGCTGTCAGGTTATCCAGTTTCTTCCTCTTGGTCTTTTCCTCATTTTGGTAGGCCATATTCTGAAGTAACTAAGAAAGCTTGGGAGGTAAGTTTTTGGTGACCTTATACATCTAAAAATGTCTTTGTCCTACCTTCATTTTATCTTTTTTCCACACAACACAGAAAGCTCTATTCATCCACACTAGTCCAGAGAAAGGCAGGTATGCTGTTTAGTATGCTGTTCTCTTGGTCTCCTGCCGGTTCTCTCTCCATCCATTTCCACTCAACCTGCTTCTTTTTATCCTCGGCTGCTATCCTCCTTTCCTCTTCTGCCCAAGGCTTCAGATACCTATAGCACTTGGTTCTGTAGGCCACACTAAGGAGCAGGGCCGAGGAGCAGCCGAGCTCGAGGAGCGGTCAGACCTGCACCAGCAGCACAATCTCGTCCATAACCTTCATGCTGGAAGCACTGTGCAATCAGTCTCCTTCTTTCATTTTAATTAGTCTGCTGCAGATATGGAATTCAAGACGGGAAATCATTTTCCCTCAAAATTTTGAAAGCAATTCTCCAAAGTATCGCTGTTGACAAGATGAATGCCATTATGATGCCTGACCGAATGAAGTCTTTCTGAAAGCTTATAGGGTCTTCTTTTTATCCCGTGTTCTGAAACTTCACAATGATGTGTTTTGATTTGGAAATATTTTTATTCACTGAGGTAGACACTTTCAATCTCGAAACCGAAGGGAAATTTTCTTGAATAGTCTCTTCTCTCTTTGGATTACTCCCCTCCTCTTTGCCTACCTATTCACTGAACTTCCAGGGCTGGTCCTCTGATTTTCTTACCTATTCACTCCTGTTTTCCATTTCCTTGTCTTTCTGCTCCACTTTATAGGAGTTTTCCTTGATTTTATCTTCTAACTCTTCTGCCAAATTTTTCATTGCTATTATCATATTTGTAATTTCCAAAAACTTTTTCTATAGTATCCCTTCCTTGTTTTATGGATGTAGTATCCCTTAACTCTAATAATTTGAAATGACTCTTCTGAATTGTTCTTCTCCCTGCCGAATCTCTGCTTCCTCCCCATTCTTTTCTCCTTGTGTTTATTTTTGTGTGTGTCTGTTAAATGAGATGCTTTCCTCAAACATCTGACAATCCTTGTCTATCTGTTTCTATTTCAGAGTATGGCACTGAAAGCTGCTTGTAATCTATTGGTTTATGGGTGAGCCTCATGACTGGTCTTCACAGTAAGGTGACGAGGCAGGGATATTTCCTTGGGAACTCCCCATAGGAGAACTTTTAGAGGTCTTTTCTCTAGAACTGGTCAGATTCTCCAGACAGGACTCTTTATATGCCTTTTTAATTTTCTCCTTCCTGCATAATCTCTGGTACTTCCAAATTGTTTTTCCATTTGTTTCTTTCTCCTACCAGGTACCATTAAGTCCTGTGTCTCTTCAGGATTCTGGGATGAAAACTGATTACTTCTTTGCTTTCTCCATTGATGACTTAGGATTCAGCTTTCTTAGGTCTGCTAAGGTAATCACCACTAATCCACCCACTCTTTAACCCCCAAAACTATGTTACCATTTCCTTTCTCTTTCTGGTCCCTATGGGCTTATGACTTTTTAAAAAATACCTTTACTGTTATTTTAGTAAGTTTCAAGAGAGAACAGAGCCAAAGGTGGCTGTTCAAATGGCCACCTTAAACCAAAAACTTTATGCTTTTTAATGGAATAAAATCATTTGTAACACAGCCAAAGATAATGATAATCCTTTTTTGAAAAATGTATATGCTTCTGCAAATATTTAAATTGTTTCATACTTTTTAAGGCATTATTTATATTATTTATTTTACACTATGAGACGGTTATTTTTAAAGCAATGTAACTCCAAATAAAAGTATACTTCTCAATGTCAAAACTACCCAAAGTGTTATAATGATCATAGTTACATAAGTTCTTGAGCATTTATACTAGACATCTGGATATTCATTTTTCCTTGTGGAATTTTAACTTGGAAAAAGACAGTAGTATTTTAAATATGTTTCAGAGACAAAAAGCTTCCATACTGAACTGGTGAGTATGAAATGCTAATGGATTAGCTAATTGGAAAAAAAAATAGAGTCACAATGGAATCACATAATTTTCCAAAACAGAGGTCCAGACAGACATGGCCAATAGAGCCAACACTTTGCTGTACTGCCAGTAGAGAGGCTATACCTGAGAAGGAGAGGTTAACCCATACCCATCTTAGCTTTAACGTATGAAGGAACACTGACCTGAGGATGATTTTCATCAGCTTTCGTAGCCAAAATGCAGAAATCTCCACAGGTAGTAATAGAAATGAGACTCTTCACATATTTAACATATTTCTCATTGTTTTTTGTATCCCAAAAGATAACACAATACTCGGGACGATCAGGTCTGGTATAAGCATATACTACAGTATTGGAGCAATAACCCCACTAGGAAAAAAGGAAGGAGCAAAGGGCCAGAACAGGAGGGAAGAAGAGAGGGAGAGAGAGAAAGAGGAAAAGAACACTTAACACTGGGAACAAAAAATCTTATTATGTACTGCAGATACGTGGTTTTTTGGTGCTGACAAAATATATTCTTCAGGAGTAAAAGACAGAAAGACTGAACATTCAGCACAATACCTTTTCTCACTAAAATAACAAAAAATCTAAGAGAAACACAGTTATCAAACAAAGAATGTACTGCAAAAATAAGTTTAGTTTAACTTTCCTTATTTCCATTTGTAAGATTCACGCTTCAGTGGTGAAAATCTCGGATTTTTCAGTAGTCCGTAACAGCTGCGTGAGGGACAACAGGAGGAGTGACCCCTGTCAAAAGCTTAACTTCTGGGTCCCCAAGCCAAATTTCAAAAACAGATGCTTTGCTTTTTCTCCCCTATCTACATTTTCTACATTTGTTTTTACCAGAGTAACATATGCACATAGTGTAGAGTCAAATAATTCTACATAGCTAAAAATTATTTATTCTACAAAAATAGAATGCAGACCCCACTGACTAATTTCCTCCCAGTGGTAGCCATTTGTAACTCTGAGCTTTGACTCTTGTTATCTACCTCCATATCACGTATGTATTGATTACGGCTTATGGAATGTCTTTCTCTTGGGCTAACTCTCCCAATATATTCATAATGTGATTTTGAATAAAGCAATATTCAAAGTTAATATTATGACTATGTTTACTATTCAAAATTAAGGCATATTTACTTTTTATAGGATGGTTAGTTTTTTAAAATAAGCTTTTTACTTTAAAATAATTTTAGATTTATATATAAGTCACAAGGATAATACAGAGTTCCCTATAGTCCTCTCCATTTCCCCCTGCTGTGAGTACCTTACACTGCTGTGGTACATTCATCACAACTAAGAAGCCAGCACAGATCCAGTACTATTAACTAAACTCCACACCTTATTTAGATTTCATGAGTTTTTCTCCAATGTTCTTTTTCTATCTCAGAATCCTACTTGGAATACATTATGTTTAGTCACCTTGTTTCCTTAGGCTCCTCTGGTCTGTGATGATTTCTCAGTCTTTCCCCATTTTTAATGACCTAGACAGTTTTGAGGAGTACTGGTCAGGTATTTTGCAGAATGTCCTTCAATGTGGGTTTGTGTGATGTTTTTCTCCTGCTCAGACTGGGATTTTCAGAACGACCATCAGAGAAGTGATGACCTCTTCTCATGTGCCACATTAGGGGTACGTGGTATCTATGTGACACCGGTGATGATGCTAGCCTTGATCACCTAGACAATGTGGTGTCTGCCAGGTTCCTCCACTGTAAAGTGACTTTGCTTTTCACCCTTTCCATACTCTACTCTTTGGAAGTGAGTCACTAAATGCAACTCACATTCAAGTTGGGGGGCAGGGGACCAGCTGGGGTAGTGTCTAAGTAACTCAAATACTTCTGTAAGGAAGATTTGTTTCTTCCCCCCCATTTATGTATTTAAATAATCTATTTTAGATCAGGTTTTGCTTGTGGACACTTATTTTTATAATTTGGGTTACAATCCAATGTTACATCATTTATTTTGTTGCTCAAATTGTTCCAGTTTGGGCCATTGGGAGCTCTTTCAGGTTGGCTCCTTTGTCTCTTTGGCATGCCCCCATCCTTTTGTTTGAGACTTCCTTACTTTCTGCCACTATCAGAGGCTCCAGGTTCATCTTGCATTTTTCCCACCCTAGTCCTAGAATCAGACAGCTCTCCAAGGCGCTTTGCCTTCTAAAAAATGAATTAAGTTTTTCACACATAACAAATATTCTTAGTATTTTGCAGCTCAATTAATCTCATACTTCTGAATTTGTTTTGGGTCAAATGTTAAATTTAGGATAAAGTACTGATTAGTATTATGCTGCTTATTTTCATTTTCCTCTTCCGATCCATCCTCTCCCCCTTCTTTACCCTACACTATGCCCTGGAAACTAACGTCTATGAACTCCATCACGTGGGCTACCTTGCCTTCTAGTTTCCAGCTGGGTCTGGCCAATAGAAGGCACCAGCAGGCGGAGAGATGGCTGAAGTACTCCCTCCCCAAAGCTGTCTCTGTCCAGCCAGTCAGCAGAAGCTGCGCTCCCACAGGACAGTCTCTCTTGTATACCCACAGCCCCAGTGGGTTCCAGGAACAATAACACTTCCTTATTTTGCCCACCATTGCTAATACCTGGATGCTTGCCTTGTCAACCCTTACTGAACCCCTTAACCTTGCCCACACCTCTGAAATAAACCCTTCATCAATCTGTTTTCAATTATTCTTTTGTGTGTGCCATGCATTTCCTGCTGACACCCTGACTGTTGGGAGTATTTTATTAATTATATATAGTATTCTAGAAAAGCTTTCTGGTTCTAAAGTCTCCACACTAAAAACACCTCCTTTCATCTGGTTTCTAAAATAAAGTGGCTGTGAATACATGCAAGAAACATATTATACTTCAAGCTACAACAAAACTATTTAGTAAAAACAGCCTTTTTTTTTTTTTTTTTTTTTACAACTGCTCATAATACTCACCTTATAATCAGGTCGGATGTTTGCAAAATATATAAAAGAATCAACAGCTAGTGCAATTTTCAGTCCTCCTCCTTCCCAAGATAGTGCAGACATCTGCTTTCCAGGAACCTTCAAAGTACCCAAATGCTGAAAAAAATGATTATATTTAACCTAAAGTATTGCAATTAAATAAAATATAAATTACCACCCACCACTTCATAGACATCAAGAGTGGCATAAAAATTATTTTGTGAAAGGTTACCACTCACTTCATAATCATTTTCCTTGAATTTTTATAATGAAAAACATACATACGATAGGAGAAATTTATGAACAATAACCAAAGAATTCAGTATCAAATTTCATCAAATCTAAGATTTGAAATCCAGAGATTTAAATATGCATCTTTACTTTTATGTACAACTCAGGAAAGAAAAAAATACATTGTTAATTAAAATAGAAACTCTGACTATACGATGCATCCCAATTTTGAAGTTGTTAAAAAAAAAAAAACAACTGCGCCTCCTGGGGGTGCCTGACTGGCTCAGTCAGTGGAACACGCGACTCTTGATCTCAGGGCCGTGCCTCGAGCCCCACGTTGGGTGTAGAGATACTTAAAAATAAAATTTTTTTTTTTTTTAATTTTTTTTCAATGTTTTTATTTATTTT